TATTATTTTACGATTAATAGATGTCTGAATGTTTTTAATAGTTATCAAAGTGATTCAAAACAGGATCACAATATTTGTCATTACATTCTACAAACACTACGCTGACTGTATCACTGCCCTTAACCGGAACGGTATTTTTTTGTTCATCACCTAAAACAATTAGATGTGACTATGATTTTTACTTGTTTAACAGAGACGATATTTATGATTCACGCAACGCAAACCTGCATCGCATCTTTTACTCAATAGAAGTATTATTTATGCATTGTAAAAAGAAATATGAACGAATGGTCGCTTGTAAATGTTGAGAGAAAATCTCTCGGATGAAAAGCCGGAAGCCAGATATACGATGCCGAAGTGTCACCGTATACAACTGGAAACAATTGAAATCGTACGCGCTCTAACACGTCACACCGCCAAAATTTCCTCAGAGATGGAGTTTTCAATTTTCCTCGTCTAGTAGAGATCAATGTGTTCTGCAAACACCAGATATTTTCTTAATGCTTGCGGAAGTGGGAGCTGTGCCAGACTCTTCTGTAGGGGCCATTTAATTTGCTTCCTCAATGAAAGTCTCGCAAGTTTTTTAAGTGGTAAAACATTTTTGGAGGCATGAGAGAGAAAATCTTCAATGGGCGAAAGTTCCGGAGGTACAGGTGGGGGAGGTGGTTCAAGGCCAGGTCCCAGATCATAACCCGCATCAACGAGTAGATGAACAAGATCAAGGCTCCCTTTTTTGCGAGCCACACGGAGTACGTCAATGTTTTTGCACGCGAATGCATGTCCAGCGTTCGGGTTACACCTACAAAACGCAAAAATAAATATAAAAAATATAAACAAAGTTATTTAGAACAAGAAGAAAAAGATACCCAGGCCTTATAAAACAAAAAAAAAGAGTTCAAGAGTGTTCTAAAGAGAAAGGATATGTCCGGGATAACATTAATTAAAAGGAGCCAATACAAACCCGAATGCAACAAGAAGCATGGCGAATTTAAGTTTTCCGGTAATGACAGCACAGAAGAGAGGTGTCTCTCCCTGAACGTAAGTTTCAGTGTTAAGAGCGCTGAAGTTCAACTCCGCAAGAAGACGAAGAAATCTACGGAATAACGCCAGATCGAATGGCTCCGTCAAACTCCGCACCAAACAGTGCAACAGGGTTTCGCCTGAAGGAGAAGTGAAGATTGAAACTTATTACAAATCGTGAAGTACATTGGCAATGATGATTGCTAATCATTTCTGTGCTATGGGGTGGTTCTAGGATATCGGGGTTGCTTCATTATGTAACTGGTGTCATGAAACTTAACCGGCGAGCGCCAGCTTACTTGATAACGCCTACTTTTCCAATAAATAACCTTTGCTTCTCAGATTTAATCTACTACAGGTTTATATTGTTTCTACACTTCATCTAGTTTAACGGTAACGTTTGCATGAAGCACACGCAAAGAAACACGAGGTTTAATTATACAACTGATTATTATACTGCTATTACTGGCTTACCGACGATGTTTCTTGATGTGAGATCCGCGCCATGAAGAACTAGGCTACGAAAGATGTCCAATTGTTTTTCTCTTACTGCAATCAATTGAGGAGTATCCCCCACAAAATTACGTGCAAGAGGTAAGGGTATGTATGGTAGGAGAGCCTTCACCTGGAAAGTGATACGTAATGTACCGTAGACAAACGCAAAAAATAAAATTGTTAAGGCAACTCGTACAAGGCCCTCTCACATAATGCGTACAGCACTTCGATGAGTATAGCAACATTGTTGAAAGTAGGACAGATACAAAAAAAATTACGATAATCACCACAAGCACTCATTGTGTAAATATGATCAACATATCCACACAAGAATCCAAATATTAGCCCATTTCCACTTTCTGCTTTTGCCTTTACTTCAGTGTTATTGTACGACGGCAGGTATTTACCAAGGTCGGGTTGTGATGCAATATGGCAGTTTGTAAAAGGCCGTCAGAAGGACTGATACGAGCCCCTGCTTCAAGTAGTAGTGCAACGAGTTCGACGTCGTTCGCCCAAACCGCGGCTACCAGCGGGCTTTCGCCATGAATTTCTTTTGCGTTGACGTTCGCCCCGTGGCAGATTAACAACCGAATCGTTTCAAGTCGCTTCGAGTCATTTTTATTCTGTTGCATGGCCAACATGAGAGGTGTGCGCTCCGAACTGTCCAGCGCATCCATAGCAGCGCCAGCGCCCAAAAGAGCGGCACATATTTCGACATAGCCGTACGAAGCAGCCATGTGTAAAGGAGTTTGCTTCTCACTGTAAAACAAAAATCAATTAGTATGCAAGAAACATACCAAGAATTGAGCTGACTATTTTACAAAGAAAAGTTGTCTTTCACGAAGCCGACTATGAAATATAAATATATTACAAAGAAGCAGAATATGATTGGCACTTACACCGATTTTGCATTCAGTCTAGCACCACTTTTAATCAAAAACTTGACGTTCTCCAGTCGACCACGGAACACACTTATATGTAGTGGGCTCAATCCAACGGCGTCTGAAGAATTTACAAACGCGCCTGGAACAAATTTAAGTTCGATCATCTAAAGATTCTTTTCTTATATATATTTCTGAATATGGGTCGTCTTCAGGCTATCTTAAAAATGATGTTCGTGACTCCTTAAATAAAACCATAAACAGTGATAAATCGTCATTTAAGCACAATGCACTACGTTTAAGGTTCTTTTATTTGGATATTCTTTCTGGAAGCACTGGATTAAATATGGAAAACTGAAAGCCTCAACTAACTAGATGCTTGGATATTATACTTCTAGGGTATTCATGAATCGTGCACGAACAGAGAGTGGTATGGAGAGTAACGTTTGGTTGCCAGAAGCGCAAAATAGCATTGTAACAATGCTCAACAAAGTTCGTAATCTATCCACTACCATTGTCAATAAGTAGCTTAAGGATGTCTAGGCGTTCCAGTTGGGCAGCGTAATGTAGAGGAGCACGGTCGAAGAAGTCATGTCGATTGACATCAACTCGGAGCCGCGAGCGACCTTCAACTGATGCTGAGTAACATGATGACGTATCGAGTTGCGAACAAAACTGGTCGAGCCCTCGTGGTGAACGTAGTAAAAACGACGATGATGCAACGGTTAGATGACGAGCCGGAGGATCGACCTGCCGAACCCCTGCTGATCCGCAAGCTTCGGAAGCAGATGCACTAGATGGGACCCTTCCAGTGCTGTGTAGTCTTTTCCCATTAATACGACGATGCTGCATGGCATGAACGAAGGCGATAATTAAAGTCAATAGGTTACACATATTTCATATGTGAAAAGCATATGACGTATGCTTGTAAAATACATTGGGATTTTTTCTATAAACTCTGCCCTTTGTATGAAGCACTAAGGAGTCATTATTACGCTGTTCTTTCGTTCAATATTCCACTCGATAAACCACTGCTTTTGAATCGTTGCTTGCCTGCCGTTGTATTAACGCTATTATACTTCAGGTAAAATGTATTGCATGCAAGTGATTCTTTTGTCTGATTTTTATTTCAACTTATTTTGCGGTCAATGGTAGGCAAGCATAAAAAACAAGTAAACGCTTCTTATAGGGTAGAGCTTATTAAAGATTGTAACAGGGTAGGTTACATACCGTGGCGGGTGAACTAGGTAAACTTCGAGCAGTACGGGGTTGATTGTCAACATTTTCTCCATTGGGAATTTCTAAACAGAGTCGCACAAGGAAAACATCTCCTGATGAGACTGCGAGGCCCAGTACTGTTTGACCAGATGATGTTAATGAGTTAACGATATAAGCTGGGGAAGCTGCTTGTTGGAGGACCGCAGCAAACGCTTTTGAATCGCGATTAGCTAGTGCCGACGAGGCCAGCTCAACCTCAATGCCACATGCTGTTGACTTGCCTGCCGCAAGCGCCATGTATGGACCGATAAGCAGATACACACAAGCATATTCTGTAAGCTATCTTGGCGGATCTTCAACTTGTTGTGCCTGAAATTCACAGATAGTGTTGAGTTGAGCAATACTGCCATCATCATGAATACTCACTACTTATTTTTTCAATAGATAGTTTTTTGCTACATCCCTTTCGATGTACTTTGTTCAGATACCCGTACCATCCTTGCATTGTTGATTCGAATTTTTTATTTTGACCACGTATGAATAAATGCACAGGTATTACCTAACTGTTTCCGCAAAACGGGATATTTTAAGATTATCTGATTAAGTTGAAGTAGACTAGAAGGTGGACGAAAAAAAACAAAGGAACTAAACTAATGAATACGAACTCCTACGCTTAACAAACAAACACGGGTTACAGTTTCGATTACGTGCTACGTTTTAACTCAATATTGGCTCATAAAGGAAAATATTGCACTAAGATGAGTTAACGCAAACTACTAATTTGCGTAGCATACATTTTTTTCTAAGAACGAAAAAAATAACTATTTGTGGTTATTATTTCGCATTCGACTGATGAACATGGTGCATTGTATGAACAAAAAGTAAATTATAGCTACTCCAAACTAAGTGTGTTTTCCGGTTCGTTATTTTCGCAGCAGGTATCTTGAAAGCCGATTTTTATGAAGTCGTTAGCTCAACTTTTTTTGAGATGTGATGTGCCTCCCGGTTAGTAGTACACCATCACTAAAAGTAATATACGTTCGCCTGTTTTTAGAGATTTTTAGAAAAAGTATTTCATTTATAAATATCTTTGGTTAAAGCAGAAATTTGTTGCAGATACACGTTCACAAATATCATCATAGGGAATGACGTATGACAGGTTGGAACAGCTGCCCGTAAGTAATTACACAAACATGCCCGAGAAGGGAAATGCAGAAATCAGAGCGCTCCGTCTCTTTCTTTAGGGTTCGGATCTGATTTTGCTGCGCATACGAGACTTTTGTTAATCATTACACCGTATTTGCCTATGGAGCACTACATATGTGATTAACTTCCAGAATGCATAATATAAGTTCGGAGCTGTACGTAACACTTCACTACGCATGGAACATACTGCAGGCACGTACTCCACAGCACGCACTTTGCCACAGCGCAAGCCTCAGACCTATGGCGAGTCGAATTCAAAAGATCTATTTGAATGATGCTGATGATCTTGACTGGACTTCACATTCGCGCATAGGCGATTTGCCACAAAACATCTGGAGCGATCCTAAATAGCATAACAACCAGTTATTACAATTTTTATTTGATAAAGATGGCCTGCAATTTATTTTTGTAAATGAAAAATAAATTGCAGGTCGCTTATTTGACGTGAGAAAGAGTACTTTTTATTAAGCTCCATTCTTTGTCAGCGATTTTAGACAGCCTCAATTTTCTATTAATCGAGAATGTTAGCGACATGAGGCTTGAAAAGGGAACGTGTTTATAAGAAAAGTGTTAACAGGAGACGAAATACCACCTTACATATTGTCTGCTACTCATACCTTTAGTGCCCCTAAACATGATGGCACAATAAATGTATAAGCTGCACGCGACCATGGAGCTGTTTTATGAAATTAAAAATAACTGGATGCTCAATAGTCTCATCTATTAGATCTACCAGATCTGTTGTCATACCAAACTGTTAGAACAGGGACTATGTACAACAGAGCTCGTATATTACATATGCATTCATATGTAATATGGACAGTACATGTTTTTCTTACTATAAAATAGTATTTAAAAAATACATGTTTTTCAAGTACTTCTCACTATTAATTCTTAAACTAAGACAGACCGTTCGTAATAAATAGTGATTATTTCTCAAATGATGCCTTAATCATATCGCTATAACATATGGATAAATCAAAATAGGTAGTCCGGAATTTATTGCGTGGCATTCGTATATTTTATACAATAAATGATCTAAAACGATGGGTTATAATGAACCTGTTGATCTTAAGGTCATCATTTTAAATTACAGTTTTGACAATTATTGAAAACACTTATATCTGAATACAAAGTTATTGCTGTTAAACATGGATGCGATTAGGACTGTCATACGTCTTTCCCTATTGTGCGCTTGGAAGACAATAAGCTTTTTAAGTAGCCCCTTTGAACGATAAATCGCGCTCAAATCATCACAGTTGTTCTAGTCGCACGTGAATAACGATACGCGTACAAATCATATTGGTAAGTTTAGTCAATGGGCTTGTAACCGATGCTTGCTAACGTAATTGAATCAGGCGATGATGCGAGGGTGACTTTGGCGGAGCCCTTGATTCGTTCTAACGATTTTCTTTGACACAAACCTCGCACTGCCATTGCTTCCATGAAAAGATCTTAGCCGCAATCTCCAACGTTCCCTTGGGACCAACTCCGTATGCGGTAAACTCCGACATGATCTGCGTGACGCACTCTTTGCTCTGGCGAAATACTATGTACACGGTACTTCCTGAAGCGATCCGGTATCGTCACATTAACTTCAGGTTGACTATTGATGAATTTGACTAGATACAAAGATAGACTTAGGTCAGTAGAGTAAGCGTAGGTTCCAGATTAAATCAGTATTTTAAGTAAAACGTTTCTCTAAGCTCGTGGTCGAGTTTGGCTGCGTAACTTTCTAGTAACAAGGTGCAAAGACTCACACATACATAATTGTGTATTCGAGGTTTCTCGTATACTCAAAATATGTTTGAATTGTTTTTTGCATACGCAGTTGTTAGTTGTTTACATAGTGGTATTTTTTTTGTTTTACATACATGAAATGTGTTCCTTTCGACGTAAATCTTTCAAACAAGTCTCACCGGACCAAATCTGAGAAAAGAATGTACGATAATATGCTGTGTCGAAACCCATCAATAAATATGTAACGATTGCCCTCTGATAGCATTCCGTAAGAAAAAGAGAACCGAGTAACTTCGCTGTCAGAAATCCAACGTACGACGACGCCCGAACGACGAAAAAATCCACACATTCTAATCCAGAATCATAACTCCCTCCGATCAGTTTGTAGTTCTTGGCTTTTATCGATTTTAGTGGTTTTGTTGCGGACTGACAAAAGGAGTCAGCCATTGCATTAAATAAGCTGACTGTTTGAACCCACCTGTTGAGAATCCAAATGTTTGACATATAGTAACCATCACAACAGTTGACTTGCTATCCAAATCACTTATAGTAACATCACGAACATACCAGTAGGTATAACGCGCCGCTTAACTAACTTTTGAGTTCGATGTGTTAAATTAGAGATGTTAAAATGACCTATCAAAGGTTAAAAAAGTACTACAAGGTCCATGCAATTTAAATCTAATTTGAATGGAATGAATATGTTGATTTCGGGTGACTGCCTGGTAATTTTTCGAAAACATTTATGACGCCGTAATTACTCAGTACAGGGAAGATAGCTACACGAAGCAAATTTTTGATTTTAAAAATACTTGACGGGGATACGTGTTCTTCATTGAATGTACGTACGAAATGTGTTTCAGCGAGCCGAAGCACAAGAATTAGCAGCTCAACGCTGCAGACTAACTGTTCACTGACCTTACTTGCCATCTGAGGCCTTCAGTTAGCTCCCTATGAGGACCTTTATGTTGCTTGGAGGCATTGTATCTCTAATCTTGAAAACATGTGACTACATTCAACAGCATTGTTTAGCAATGAAGCTATATTAAAAACAAACACAGATATCCTTCAAATAGGCTGATAGGTTCATAAAAACTATTTATTAAGTACACACATTAAATTTCACATTGCTATTATCATTGCGGTCCTTGTTCCCGCTTTGCCTCTTTGCTCAATTTGGCAATAAGTTTTGATATCGAGTGCCTTTTATAGGCGATAGCATCGGCGCTTACCTGCAACGAATTAAATTACGTACGAATTAAACATTTTTAGTAGTAAGTTTATTCAAGTAGTTCAAATTCTTAAAACGTATGTCTTTTAAACTCATCTGGATAAAGTTAGAATGCTATATGGTACCCGTTGTACTGACATTGTTGGCATGACAAGCTAGTTTAGTATCTTAAATCAACTATCAATTACAAAACAAAACAATGCGTTACCAAGCAGCTGTTTTGACTTTCACTAAAGTATATTGGTAATTAAAATGCTTGACAAGCGAAAATGAGCATTCACAGCTCAGTCCAACCTGAAGGAAGGCCTTCTCAATTAGGGGAACACCCTTTGCAAACAGATCACACGCAATTTCAGCAAACTCTAACACGTACAGACCACAGTCATTAGAGTTCCGCTGCGATGCGCAGCGAAGTTCCGTTATTGGCAGCTTTTTGCCAAAAAGTGCTCTGGAGAGTAGTCCACCGACGAGATAAGAGTCTTCTGAGTTTCGTGACGAGGATGAATCCAAATGAAAGAACGCTCCTCTGTGGTATATAAGCAGCGACCAATGCGTGCCGCCTGTGCTAGAAATACTACAATCGTTAATCGGTAGCACAATAAGCTTTTTCGATTTGAGATGGCTGAACATGCGTTCAATGTCTGCGGTAGTCAGGCTCTTGATCAACTGAACAACTTCAGCTGCAAGCAGAGCAACCTCATTAAGGTCGTTGTATGTTTTAGTTTCAAGGTACTGCAGATAAAATGATATGACATTGTCGTTAAGCCAGCCGCCCTTGCTAAGTGTTGCAACGTCAGATTCACGTAGAAGCGTATCTTGAAACGAAAGAACTGCTGGGCCTTCCGAAGACATTGTAGCCAATCGTATGATTGTTGAAGGATTAATGGTATGAAACTTGAGTAACGATTTCTCGGTGATTATTTCCACACCCTTAACGCACAACGCCGCTTTCTTAGGAACCTGAGCCACTCAGTGCCAAGATAGTGTCTGTGTCAACAGGTACGAAACATATCTTTCTCGGTTCATCGTTCGTTGTAAGTAGATCCTCAAAAAGTAGATGCTAAGTTTTTCCTAAGAGACAAACACAATTGCGCGCCGTTTGATGCTTTGCTGTCGTACAATTTCGCATAACTTTACGTTTTACTTTAATAGGAGCTTTCCTGCCGGAAGTGATTTGGCTCAGTACATAGTAAGCACGATCTTTCTAAACTCGATTTTTCTTGATTTTAACGAGAACTTGTTATACTCTAAATATTCTATCATCCTGCTCTCTCTGTTCCTCTGTCAGGCGAATTCCAAGTATACTCTGGCGAGTAAGTTCCGTGCCTTCAGCTAGCAACCGAACGCTCCGCCAGTTAGCATAATCGACGGAGGCATCTGTGTGATCTGTCATCTAGGCGGTTACATGAACAACTTAAAACACAACACTGAGAACAAACCGCGTCAATGTCGTGGTATCAACTTCAACCAGCGACACGCTTCGATTCTATGACCGGTGATGTGATGTGATATTTACCCGCGCTTTATTGATTGATACCCCACTACCGGATGAACATATAAATGTGGCAAACGGGTGCTGAGCGTTCTTGTTTGTCTGAGATTCAATCGTGACCAGGGGATACAAAAATGAGTGCACCTCTGCCGGGAGAAAAGAATAAAGTTGACAGTGGTAACGTGACTACACTGGGTCGGCGCCTATTTCATTGGGGGCCACTGGTGGCTTTGGGGATTATCAAGTTTGTTTTTTTTACGTGTATCTACCTCACGTCGTGGTGGTTTCCTCCATATGAATCTATTGGGGGCACCGTCAATCATGTCATGTATATGATAGCTGTCGGGCTTATTCTGTATAATTTCCTTTGCTCAGTTGGTACCGGCGGCGGGTTCGTGCCTAAGGGATGGAAGCCGGTAAGTAACAAAGGTTCTCAAGGGGGCGGGGGTCTCTAAAATGTGGTACGTTCTCTTGCGGAGAACATGGAGGTAAACTCGACTATATATAAATATGTCCTCCCAATTATTTGATAAAACAGATATGTTATCAAAATAAATAAAGTGGGATAGGAAACAGAGCATATGAATGTGCTATATATTGATAAGGGGGAGACCGTTCATAATCTGATGAAAAATCATTATTCACCCTTCGGTTACCTAGAATATTTGCTTTGAATTGCCACTGAATAAATTTGAAAAAAAAACTCTGAATTAAATATTCACTACGAATTTTTAAAGACAATTTCATGGTTTGCACAGATTACTGAGGATATAACTTACAGAGAATATCGTTTCCTCGTATTTTGTTTTTCGGTCAACAAAAAGTTAGCTTCGTCCAGTAGGCGTTCTTATTTAATGCACTACATATAAACGAGCATTTGTTAGTCCCCTCGTTAACCATTAAAAAAATGCTATTAGTCCAAAACGCATTTTTGCATTACCAAACTTCCGTATGTATGGTTCATGCATAACATGCAAATTATTACCTTCAACGCAGACGCGAACTAAATTAAGGATATTATTGTTTTTTTTTTCGTTGTATTCTTCTAAGAGTATGTGGATTTATAGTATATATATA